AACTTTTAATTGGCAAAATTTTTATTAACCAAATAGAAATTTTTTTTAAAAACTGTAACTTTGTAACTTTGTAAACAGCAACAAAAAATCTTTTTGTCGATTAATTTTTTGATACTGACTCATAAATCTTTAGATGAATTAAGATTTGTCGAATTGAAAATTTTAGCATTTAAAAATTCGAAGCTCTTAAAATTCTATTGAATGAAAATTCTGCTCAATTAAAATTCGGTTAAATTATTTAGAGATGTCTTTTAAATAAAAATTTGCTACCTAAAGATTTGGTACATTAAATTCTGTAAAGTAAAAATTCGTTTTAAAATAAATTTTGTCAAATGCAAATTCAAAAAATGAAAATACGTCAAAAAAATAATAGTATAAAATAAAATACCATTCGAAAAAACCAAATCTTAAATCCTAAGACAAAAACGAATGTTCTAATTGATAAAATATAAAGAACATTGAACAGTTTAGAGAAACATTAAAATTTAATCATGCCTCTATATTAGAGGAGAAAAAAAATCGAAATCATTTACTTTTTTTTTTTTTTCGAAATTCCCCTTGGAAAAAACTCTCTTAGAATTAGAAGGTTGGAATCTCAACTTATTGACTCTTCTTGGAAATTCTAGTTCACAAAATCCCTGAGGAACTCGTCCCCTCAGGACGTGACGAGATACGGGATTCGTAAGCTTAGAATTCGCAAAAGCAAAAGGATAGCGACTTTAGTAGTCCTAGTCACGATTTTCAGAATCATATCGCACACCTAGAATGTAGAATGTAAAATTTCCCCTCACTATTTCAAATAAGTGATTTCAAAGTGATATCTCCATATTCTAGCAGATTCATTTTATAATCTAATTGCATAGCTACAAAATATTGACGAAATTTCATATTAAAAAAAAAAAATTGCTATCAAAAAAATTCTTTTTTCCACAATACTTTGTAGAAGTAAAATTTCATTCTCTACGAATCTTGATTTTAATTACCATTTCTACTTTACAAAAAAAAAATTAATGTGTTCATCATTGAGAAAAGTGTTGACGTAAATGTCAGGTCGATACTTTCATGTATTACAGGTACCACAACTCCATCTTCTCTTAACTTCGGGTGGTCTCAAGTGCTGTACTTGAAAGTGCTACTTGAGGTCGCCTGTCATTAGAGGGAAATGAAATTATAACACAGCAATACATTAAAAAATTTTATCCAAAATTACATAAGTTTATGTTTTATTTTCCAAATTCTAATTTTCTTATTCAAAAATCAAAATTATTCGACGGGTGATAGAAAAGGGGGCGATTTGTCAATTAAATAAAAATTTGTACAATTAAAAATTTGAACAAATTTGGACGCTATACTAGAAATTCTATAGTATTCAAAAATTCGAAGCACTTAAAATTCAAAGCTCTTAAAATTTTATCAAATAAAAATTCTGCTTAATAAAAATTCTACCAAATAAAAATTTATTTGGGTCATTCTTTGTCAATAAGACAAACACCCCCTTTGCCCAGAACATTTTTAATGAAAAAAAGGTTTCTATTAGGTCAAATTACAGCAAATTTTATCTATTTTTTCATGCTGTATGGCACTTTTTAAATATATTTAATATGGAGGGCCACAAAAGTAAAAAAACCCAGGTAGAAAAATTAACATTACTAACGTTACTAATGTTACTAACGTTAGTACCTATAAAAAAATTAAGAAAATGTTTCTAAATTGTATTTTTGCAGAAACTTGTCGAAAATCTACCACCAGGAAGTATTTAATGTTCTTACCCGCACTTTTTACAATTTTCATTTCTATTATCACTTCCACTTTTTTATTTTCATTCACAGAAAATTAAAAAGCATTAAAATAAGCTGCAACGCTTATTATTTTAATCCAATTTTGCTTATTTTAATCCATTTTGGTATTAAAATAAGCAAAATTGGATTAAAATAATATGCGTTGCAGCTTATTTTAATACCTTATAATTTTCTGTGTTACCGTTTCCACTTTCACTTTTTCTAATTCTCATTCGGACTTCCATTCCCACTTCCACTCTTTCTAATTCTCATTTCCACTTTCACTTTTTTATTTTCATTACCACTTCCACTTTTTCTAATTTTTATTCCCACTTCTACTCCCATTTTTTCCACTTCTAATTTTCATTAGCTGTTGCCATTTCGACTAAAAACTCTTTCTAATTTCCATTTACATAACCATTTCCACTTTTTTTAATTACCATGGATGGAAATTAGAAAAAGTGAAAGTGATAATGAAAATTTAAAAAATTAGGAATGGAAGTGGGAGTGAAAATATAAAAAAGTTGTAATGAAAATAAAAAAGTGGAAGATGAAATGAGAATGAAAATTGGAACAAGTGGAAGTGAAAGTGTGAATGAGAATTAGAAAAAGTGGTAGTGGCAATGAATATAAAAAACTGTAAGTGGAAATAGGAATGGGAATGAAAATTAGAAAAAGTGGAAGTGGCAATGAATATAAAAAAGTGGAAGTGGAAATGGGTATGAAAATTATAAAAAGTGGAAGTGAAGTGGGAATGAGAATTAGAAAGAGTAGAAGTGAGAATGGAAGTGCGAATGAGAATTAGAAAAAGTATAAATGGAAATGGGAATGAAAATTATAAAAAGTTTAAGTGGAAGTGAAAGTGGTAATGGGAAAGTAGTGGCAAAGTTTCTGTGAAAATATATTTTAGAAACTCTTAATTTTTTATAGGTACTAACGTTAGTAACATTAGTAATGTTAGTAACATTAGTAACGTTAGTAACGTTAATTTTTTCACCTGGGAAACTGCAATGTCAGCAAGAAATATGATATTAAAACGAGTGTATTTTTATAATAATTGATTTTTAAAAGAAAATACAAAAATTTGATATAAAAATTAGGTAGAATTTTCCTTTTCAAAACTGTTCATAAAATAGTCAACTTTTACGAGAGTCACGGACAGTACATTAATGTCTCAAAGAAAGGTAATAAATACGTTAAAGTTGCAAATGCACAGAAAATGAAAGTATAAAAGCTTATTTAATAATCTTCAATCTGGAAGAGTTGTACGCAAAATTCAAAACATTCCATCTGAAGTTAACAGTAAGCATTTTAAGCATATCAAAAATTTTGACAAAAATAATAGACTTTTCTCTCCAAAGACTGACAAGAGACTGTAATGTTTGTATTTTCTTTTAAAAATAAATTATTATAATAATACACTCGTTTTAATATCATATTTCAAGAGATAATTTCATATTTCTTGCTGATAATGCAGTTTTTTTTGACTTTTGTGGCCCTCCATATTAAATATTTAAAAAGTGCCATACGGCATGAAAAAATAGATCAAATTTGCTGTAATTTGACCTAATAGAATAACCTTTTTTTTCATTAAAAATATTCTGGGCAGAGGGGGTGTTTGTCTTATTGACAAAGAATGCCCCATTTAAAAAAAAAAAAACAAAATTTTTTGTCCATATAAAATTATAGACACAATTAATTTTAACTATTTTTAACAACTATGTAAAATGATTGGAAAGTAAATTGTTTATTTTCATTAAATTCACTATGACTAAATAGCAGGACTATTTGTCGAGCCATTTTGCGGTTCCGGTATGGAATCCCCTTCATAGCGTGCATTAATTTAGGTCACAGGAAGGATCATGTGACCTATTCTAAGAGAGATGTTGGATCTGACCCTAACTAAGGCTGTTATTAACCCCTTATTAGCATTCAGCTACGCTCAACGACAATTTGAATACTATTGAAAGGTTATATTATATCAATTTATTCAATTATTATATATATATATTATGATTAATGAAAACGTTTTGTTTTTTTAGATTTCATTTTAATTCGCATATAATTTGGCGAATATTAATCATATAAAAGTTCAATAAATCAAAATATATGAAAAATATTTTTGGCTAAAAAAATACCATCATCAGGACTTATTGTACAAATATTAATATGTTAATCCTAGGGGTCTATTCAAGTATTATGTAAGAATATTTTTGAAATCTTTTTTAAGGCTTCCCTTAAATAATATTAAATATTATTATTATTATTATTATTATTATTATTATTATTATTATTATTATTATTATTATTATTATTATTATATTTTTAATAATATTTATTATTCAAAATTTATATTATTTTTTACTTTTTTATAATTAGTAGTAGCAGACAATTAGTCAGAAAAATTTATCTTAAATATGTGTAATTATAATATTGTAATTATTATTTTTATTGCAATTACTATTGTTATTATAATTATTATTGTTACTGTAATTATTCTACTGATACGAACTAAACCTTGAGTTTTATTAAGACATAAATTTTCTAAGATCTTGATACTTTAGTATAAGTAGTAAAAGTAAATTTTAGTCAGACAGCGGGGTTTAAATTCACGGAATTTTCATATAAGTAATAAAAGTCAATTTCAGACAGACAAAACTTTCTCCAAAATTTGGTAAATTTGTTATCAGTAATAAAAGACAGTTGCAGTCAGGCATAAAAGATTAACAATTATTTTCATTATTCTGTCAGTATGGTTTAATGTGAGTTTGCAGTTAGATTTTTCTATTAGTAGAAAATGTCAATTTCAGTCAGACGAAAAAGTTTAATTTCAATTTATTTGTTTATGTATCAATAGTAAAAATACGTTGCAGTCAATTTTTTTAATTAGTAGTAAAAGTGTGTTGTAGTCAGACTTTTTTATTATTTTTGTGTCAGTAGTAAAAGTGAATTGTAGTAAGGCTTTTTATATTTTTTCCTTTCAGTAGTAAAAGTTAGTTATAATCAGACATTGCTATATAAATTCTTGTAAATTTTTCACATTTCGTAAAAAAAATACCATCAGTCTGACAAAACTTTTTGCAAATTATTCTTAATTTGATTATCAAAAAAAAAAAAAACTTACAAGACAAGAAATTTTCCAAAAATTCTTATATTCTTACATAATACTTAAATATTTGGAAAAATAATTAAAATTAAATAAAAAATTTCGTTATCTCTTACCTTGAGGTAGGACGGTGAACAGCAAAATTTGAAAACAAGTGACCACGATCCAAGGCCTTATTCGTGGCAGTGGTGTAATCCTAACATTGGGTGTATTGTGAAGAGGTAAGAGGATCGTCGTCGACATTTTGTGATCTGGTACCGTCATTTTCTCCTCTTTACGTTTTTTTTTTTTAACGGCACGTAACTCGATTTTGTCGAGTTCACACGCCGATGAAAAATCCTTATTGAACAGCAATGATCATTTTTGAAGAGAGAGAGAGAGTATTTCTGGCCTTTTCGATGATATGATTCTCGTCACACAATAATAATAAGCATAAAAAAAAAAAAATAATAATTTTTTTTTTTTTTCTTTCCGAGTCTGCGGCTACTCACTTTGAGCCGTGGACGCTATCGAGCCTCCCGATTTGGCCGTCATAACCAAGTGTTCTTTTCTCCACGTGTTTTATCCTCGCGATATACCAACAAGACAAACGAATCCAGATCTGCGGCTCTTGATTATCTACTGTGACCTTGACACTGTCCACACTTCAGCCACATTTTTAATTCCTGCAAATAATATTCTTCTTATCATCATCATTGTCTAATCACATTTTTTCTATATATACTAATTATTTTCACTTTCGATTATTATTATTTTTTTACACTAAAAAAAAAATTATTTTATTCAAGTAATCGGTTACTTTACCATTATCAAATAAATATTTACTTGGACCAAATAAACATTTACTTGTATCAAATAACTTTTTTTTCAGTCAATTACATTTTATTTTTTTTTTGCAAAAACAGAAATTATATTGAAATAAAAATTATTTGATACAAATAAATATTTATTTGATTCAACACTCAGAAAAAAAATAATAGATATTTGTCTCAGAACCAAATAAATATCACTGTTTTAAATAAATATTTACTTGTTGGAAATAAATTTTTATTTGATATATTAATAAAAAATTTTATTTATGACAATATTTTTATTTTCGCCAAATAAATTGCTCTGAGACAAATATACGTTTATTTAATTCAAATATATTATATTTTATAAAACATTTCTCTGGATGAATTAACCGATTATTTGAATCAAATAAATTTGTTTTCAGTGTAAAAAAAATTAATATAATACATCAATAATGGAAAAATTAAATTTTTTAAATTTGTAACAATAAAAAAAAACAAAGAAATTTCATTGATTTTCAGTAAACATAGAGAAAAATATTAGTTTAAAAAAAAGACTAAAATCACAATGATAATTTTTATTAAAAATTCATTAATTGTTCAAAAAGACAAAAAAAAATACAAATAAAAAGAATTTCTCTCCACTGTACTAAAAATTTTCGCTGAATGTCATAAAAAGACACCGAACAGTTATGAACTCAAATAATGAACTTAAAGATCTCGGCAAGTCACTGATATACTTGAAATCTCTCTGTTTCGTTTATGAGCAATATAAGTGTTTTCATTTTTTTTTTTTTTTTTTTTTTTTTGAGATAAAAAAAATCATTAACCTCATATCAAACATAACGGTAATTAAAAATTTTTTTTAACTGACAAATTATTATTTTATTTAAAAATTTCGTGTTTTTTCTAGAAACATCTGTAAAAAGAAAGTCTTATTTTAAGGCCGAAAAGAGATCTTATTTTAAGAGGCAACATTTTTAAAGCAGCTTTGCTGAATTTACACAATGAAATTTCCATTAGAGCTTCTAGCGCTGATTTTAAGACTCATCTGAAAATAAGATCTTCTTTTTACAGTGAAATTAATACTTTATTTTAAATAACAGTCGTTTTACAATTGATAAAATTTGTTTCGTCAGTGTCGCATTTTTTTTTCCTAGTTAATCAGTAGAAAAAAAAAAATAAAATAAAATCACTGAAATTTCAGTCTCATTTTTGACAGATTCCCAATGACATATCACCGATTGGAAATCGTAACAAGGTAGTCACTGAAAATTAGTGGAACTTCCATGATAGATTGAAATTTAAACAGTATAAGAATAATTGAAAAAAAATTCTTTTACTAAAAAATATATACGAGAGTAAAATAATTGCAACTCAAAAATTTTATTAATTATTTCCCTGTATATATGCTTTATGTGCTCTTAAGGGGTAAATTCATTAATTATACCAAAAATTTATCTAACATTGTTTTTTAAATAATATTATGCTAAATTGGAAGTTTTTTTATATTAAAAACTTTTCATATATTCAGAAATTTTTTTTTTTTTTTTTTTTTTTTTTCAAACAGAAATTTTCATGAAAACTTTCTTCGTTCCATCATGCGAGAGAGAAAGAGAGCTGAAACTATGTCAAAAATTGATTTCCAATTTCTCAAAATATTACCTCACTTTTAAGAGCTTTTTAAACACAATTTTTTTTCTATTCTTCAATTTCTATTCTTGAAATAATTGGAAAAAAAATTTAAATTACCTACATATTCTAATTTTTGTGATTTGTGAAATAAAAAGAAAAAAAAACAGTATTTGCATTCCCCCAATTTTTGGAAATGAATGGATACATGAAGAGTCGTTTAGAGGTTGAAACAAAATATACAAAAAAAAAAAAAAATTGTGTTTCCTTTATGTCGAAATTTGTCACACGAGAAACCTCTGACGATGCTAGAGATAAAAACCATAAAGTACGCGTAGTAAACAGCGACTAGTTTATGGCCACTATATACAATAAAAAAAAAATTTGTTCTTTTTTGTTACAATTTGCTGTAGCGTTTAGTAGTTCATAAAATGTGTCATCTTTTTTTTTTCATAATTGAATTTACAATGTTCCTGAAATTAATTTTTGAAATTTTTCATTAGATTCTTTATTAGGATTTAATAAATAATTGAAATTTATAATCATAATCATGATTTTCATCAATGAATAGCTTTAATGCTTGGTAAATTTATATATCGTATTTTTTTTTTTTTTTTTATATCCCCTATTCAATATTTTTAATTATCGATCTATCGTAAGGATTGGTTTAATTTTAAAAGTTTAAAAGTCTATTATAGTATCCGTATAGCACTTTGCTCTAGTTTCAAGATTCCTAACTCAACAAACGTTACCTTCTAATCGGATTAACTAACTTTGCAATTAAGAGCACTATAAAGCATACAGGAAAACACGTAAAATTAATGTTACTCTATAGTAACATCCATTAGCGAGAAAAGTCATTTTTTTATTTTACAAAATGTAATGTAATACTTTCCAACTGATTAAATATTAAAAATGCGTGTATAAAAATATATAAAAAATAATATATACAAAAAATAAAAATGCCCTATAAAGCAAATGATAAATAAAATCTTATTTTATATACAGGAGAAATTCTAAAAAAAAAAAAAAGATCTTAATTTCAACTAAAACTTGTATTCAAAATACATTTTTCAATCCTAGATAAATAATTTTATAAACAAAAATTCAATTTCAAAATAATTAAAATTTTTATTTATAATTAATAAAAAAAAAAAAATATCTTAAACGGAATATCTAAATAAAATTCAATATGACACAAATCTGTACAAAAAAAAACAATACTATATATATATATGGGGAAAAAAGAAAAGTTGTGCGCTATGACATAAAAATATTTCTGCTTTTTTCGCATTGAATTAACCATATATATATAATATCTACATTGAAAATCCATAATATTGTTTTTTTTTTATTTTAGAAAAAAAAAATGGAATGTGTGAAAAAAATATTGGCTTTTCTTTATTTATACTAGGAGCTCTTAGTTTAAATAGACGAGTTACTTATTGGATACCATTGAGGTGTAGAGAACATGTACTTCATTACACATACATGAACAACCCTTTTCATTCATGTAGACACGAAATACAAGCGCTCATCAAGAACGCATATAAATTTTCCCCAACAACATAGGGAATTGAAATTTTAATGTCTCGTCGTAACCGAAGAAAAGTGCGTTTAATTTAAATTAAAATCTAACTTCATTGTTTAATCAACTGTTTATTTCAAAAAAAAAGAGCTCAATAAAAAAGTTCAATTACAGTAAGATAAACATTTTTTTTTTTACAATATATTAATATTATATTTTAATATATAAAAAAGAATTCTTCTTATATTAAGAATATTACTCTTTTTTATTCAAAGAATATAAAGAAAATATTCACAAATAGAAATCAAGATCTAAAAACATTTTTTCACGATATTTTTATCTCATTTTCTCGTTCACTAATTAAAATTTAAAGTGTCGTTGTTTCTGACACAAGGGTGGAAATATTTTATGAAAAAAAAAAAAAAGAAGAAACATGCATTTATTGCAATTGATATTTACCGCATATGAATAAAAATACTTCAATAACAAAATTTATGAGCAAAACGAATAATATAAAATAAAATGACCATATTTATAGTTCAATAAGCATAACTTGACACATCATTTCTGAAATATTGGAATTTTCGTTTTCAAATCCATTTCTGTGCGTATTTATTGCACAGATAACTATTTCAGTTTGCATAATTGCTCGCATTCATGATTGAACTTTATGTTTAAATTTGCACACATATAGTATATACAGTGATGTACATTATATGAATGATCCAATTATTTTATATTCACGATCAATTTTTTATATTTTCAAATATGTTACAGAAAAAAAAAAAATTTTTTTTTATTTTACACGTAACTATATATCCGTGTAATAATAATTTGTATATTACCCACTTTTAATTTAATAAACAATAAAATAATTAAAGTACTTAAAAAAATATGTTTCAAAAAATATAAAAACTGTTTAATTTATTATTTTTTGGTTAAATTATTTATTATTCACAAAATTTCTAAAGTTCGATGAGATCATCAGTTTCCATACTTTTTGAACATCCTGTATATTTCATATATCAATTTTATATGAATTTATGAATAATTAATTATTATTTAACATTTAATTATTATTTAAATATTGAATATATTTACTGTTTACAGAATAGTTATATATACCATTCGAATATCTCTAATTAAACATCAAATCATAATTAAATGGATCATGAATTAATCATGAATTCGATATTTCATGCTGTGAGATGAATAATTTTGACAATCCCTTAGATGTAGAAATTAAGCCTTAATCTTGATGATTATCAAAATATTAATCGCTATACGTAGCAAATTATACAACTCTTAAGATTTTTAATTATTTTCTTTTTTTATCAACTTTCTCAATTAAATACTATTTATAGCTCATCATCAAAAAAAAAAAACAAAAAAACACTTTTCTTTTCAGTTTATCTCGTGTCCAAATGAATGATAACCAAAATTAATCACACTCCAAGTACTACGCTTTTGTTCATTCAATAAAATTTTTATGCTCAACCAAATAATACTTTTTATGAGCATTTCTGATTAAAATGAAGGAAAAAAATTATAGTATATGTAGTTTTTTTTATAATGAAGCAAAATATTACAATGTTACACTGAAAAAAAAAATTTTTTTTATTTGATTCAAATAATCGGTACTAATTATTTGATATAAATAAATATTTATTTGATAATAGTCAAGTGGCTAATTATTTGAATCAAATAAATTTTTTTTTCAGTGTACCGAAAAATAATACAGGCCGACAAAATTATAGCATAATTCAGATTCAAGGACATATACACTTTTCCGAAACATTTTGAATCCGAATCTGACCTCAAAATTGACGTCAGGTTTCCGAAATATACCAATCAAAAAGATGAGGCTAAAGTCCGCAACGTTTTCAAAAAAGAAAAATTAAAATAGAATTATTTTTTCCTGTCAATTTATCTCTAATTTTGATTTGCACAAATTTTCAAAAAATTAATAACTTTTATAAAAACACCCGAATAACTTTAATTTTAACCAAAATTAATGGATATTGTCTAATTTTTTTTTTGTTTTCGTTTATAAAAACGTTGCGGACTTTAGCATTATTCAAAAAGAACAATTTTTTGACAATATTTGTCATCAAGGGATAATTTATTTTCAAAAAAAGTTGTCACAGCATCTCAAAGTACTATATTCTTCCCTTTTAAAATGCATTTTGAAATTTTAAAAAATCTTTATCTGGCTATGAGTTATCGTCATTTAAAATTTCTGATACTAATATTGTAAAATTCACCAAACTCGCAAATCAGAAAATTCAAATGACGAAAACTCAGAGCCAGATAAAGATTTTTTAAAGTTTCAAAATGCATTTTAAAGAAGAAAAATAGTACTTTGAGATGCTGTAACGACTTTTTTGAATAGAAATTATCTCTTGATGTTACATATGGTAAAAAAAACTCTTTTTTACCCTTTCAGATTAGAATACCTATCTCAAAAAAACTTCAGATCAATTCTGAGGTAAGATTCGAATTTAGTATACGTCGAAATGCTTCGAAAAAATAGTCTGCGATTTTTAGTTTTGAAGTCTAAAATTTTGCCAGTCTATGCAATAGTGAAAAGGAAAATAATTCTAAAAATAATTATTCTAAGAATTTTTGCTAACGCAAGAATAATCAAAACACAAATTAATGATCGAAATAATAACTTAAGCAACTCCCAGGGCGTTTTTCAAATATTTAACCAAGTTGTAATTATGTAAAATTTTGGCGAAACTAGTCCCTAACCTGATTATCAAGGATACACATGTCTACTAGAGCGGATAGTTTAATTTAGCCGCTTGACTAAATTATGTTGCTACTGTATCTACATGTATGATGAGTACATATATATATATATATATATATATATATATATATATAGAGAGAGATAGGATAAGCTTGTCTCTCCCGGAAATGACTCGAGCCTACCTGACTTGACTATATTTCTCCACGAATTTTCCTCGAATGAAACAGCATCAATAGAGGAAGGGTGAACCGCACTTTCTAAAACTTGTTGAACCTTGCGCTTGGCAAGCGGAATCCAATTTTGCTCACTTTAAGTATTCGTTTTCGGAATTCTCTCTTTGCTTGAGGTTCCGGATGGTTTGGCCGATTTGCACTAGCCAAAGTCGTTTTCGTGTTGTACAACAACAACAACAATAGGTCAATGGGGTAGTAGAAGTAGTACAGAGGATCTCGACGATTCTTCACCAAATCCAACGAACATGGATCGATAGATCCTATCAACTCGAGGGACACTAGGGTCCGAGAATCTCCAAAACTTGTACATTCTCTCTCTTCTTCTTCTTCTTCTAAAGAACAGAGATCCAACTCACATAAAACGTCCTTTTACGTTATGGCTCGCTGCCAATTTCTTAAACATAGCACAAAGATCTCGATCTGTTAAGATCAGAGATCTCTTTGGAAACTTAAATCACTTGGAATTATTATCCTTTAAACCATATATGTGTCATCTCTAAGGATGTTAATTGCAAAACTTTTTCCGGTTACGGAGACAAACAACATTTCCGGGCGTCCCGGCTATATATATATATATATATATATATATATATAGAATGAGAGAGAGTAAGAGGGACACCACACCGCGCACCGATAGACAAGGGGGGAGAATATATAGGAATAGGTGTATGTGTTAGAGAGAGAGAAAAATAGAAACAGCAGCAGCAGCAGCTCTCGCAGCTCGTCTCGTGCGATGGTTTGCAACGGAACTGAATATCCGAGCTACTGGTGATTTTGAGCTTGATAGTAGGAACGCGCGACTCGCAGCAGCACCTGCGATATAGAGCTCCTCTAAACGGGGGAGTTCCTCCTACCATCCCTCTACAATTTCGCGAGAAGCTGCGAACTGGACCACCACGCAACCCCCACTAACTCTCCTTCATTCGAAGCCCACCCCACAGATCAATATTGTACCCACGGTACGGGAGTCTACCTCCGACCTCGTGCTAAGACCGTAGCACATAGCCACCATAGCGAATCAACTTTGCCTGTCTCTCCATCTCTCTCCATCTCTCTCTCTTTCTCCTCTATTACAACGGCCATGAACCAACAAGTTTCATATCCTCACAATTTTTACAAATTCTTCTATTTCAAGAAATTATAGCCTAGCCATATATTATTTTTACCAAATTGTAACAATGTTACAAAAACAATATACAAAATCATGGTGGTTGGTTCCAGATTTTCCAGCTAACGCAAGGGAAGAGCTGGTCTGCCTGTTTTCGCTGACCCATATTCCACCTAGGAAAACAAGCTTTTGATAAGCCAGCTTACAATTAGCAAAATAATGTTCAAATTAATGAAGAATCATTATATTCTATGTTTTAAGAATAAACTCTCGAAAGAAACAATTATCGATAAATAGAAAGAAAAAAAAAAAAATTACAAATCTTAAAATATCCGGAACAGAACAAATATAACTGTTATTTTTTTCTACAGTTGTAAATTCATTAAGAATATTTGGAATATTTAGAGCTCATTAGCGGCATAGAGTGTTAATGAGGAATTTTACTCTCAGAAACGGTTATTCTCCCTCGGCAATTAGTAATAGTTTTGTTGGACATTTCGTAAATTAGAGGGCATTAAATTTCATAATGGCCCAAGATGCTTATTTCTTTTTGTCTCTACATTTGATAAAGCAATTATTATTTTTTTGCCCTACAGATTAATTAAAATCGTATCCCTGAGACAAAAAAAATTTCATTTAAATACAAACATAATTTTAAATGATTTTATTTGGTTCAATCCATTTAACTCAATAAGTTTAATATTAATAAACAGAAAATATCTACTACTTTAGTTTAAAAATATATTTGTTTTAAGAAAAAATATATATTTATCACAGAGCCAAATAAATATTTATTTGTTGACAATAATTATTTATTTGTTGAAAATAAAAAAAAAATTACTCTGAATAATTTATTTAATTCGAAAATATTTTTTTATTTTGGTTAAGCAAAAAATATTTGCTTAAATAGAAATAGTAAAGAGAAGAAAATATCTAAAGACACTTTTGCATGAAAGCAATATTTTAACAGTTTTTGAAAGTAATAAATTTTTTAAAGAAAGTATTCCCCTGCTTATCACCTTCCATTTGTAGTCACGTTTGAAGATTTTCTTTTATTTTTTTTTTGTTATCCTACTTTTTCGAGTTCTAATTAAAATATTTATAGAATAATGTGTTTATTCTAAGGAAAGTTCATCTAAAGTGGAAAATTTCTTAGTTGAAGAAGAAAAGAGGCTTTAGAATAAATTGCTAAAAATGCGACGTTGAGAGACAAAAATATATTGGATTTGTTATCTGGAGCACTAGGGTGGCCTAAAATAATAAAATGTTAGTCCTGATTACCTCGGGTTTATTTTCTCATTCCTCTCTATCATTCTTAGCTCGACCATCAAAATATTGTACACAAAATTTCCTCTTTCTCTCTTTCTCTCTCTCTCTCTCGATAAAACAAAAGATTTTTTTTTTATATTTTAATCTAAAATTTAAGAGCTAAATTTTTAATTATTCACTATACAACGCTGATTTAATTAATTTACAAATTAATTTTTAATCAAATCTCTCAAAGTTTCAAAGAGAAAGCATTAATTATTAATTCGGTTACTCTTGTTTTATAATTTATTTTATTTATTATTATATTTGGTTTTTAAAACTGAATACCAAGAAAGCATTTTTATTATAATAGTTTTATTTTTAAACCAAACACAATATTCATTATTTTTTTCTGTAAAACAAATTTTTTTTCCAAAAAAAAAAAAAAAATTAATTTCATAGTGTGAAAGGAAACATTTATAGAATTTCCTTTATTTTTTAAATCAACCTTCAACAGGTTTATCTTCAACGAAAATATATATATATATATATATATATATATATATATATATATATATAAATTAAAGAGAAAACATCAAAACACATTCAGGAAATCATGAAATTCTATTTCCTATTTTCCATGAATTTCACAGACCAATTGATCGAAATGATATTCTTTCTCCAAATTTAATGAGCTTCAAATTACATACAAAATCGATATATTTCACTAAAACAGAAATTCTATTGCTACTGTATGAATAATTCTTGTTGAAATCTAACTATAATGTGAACTCAAATGACAATGAGAGAGAGAGAGAGAAAGAAAGAGTGAATATTCAACTCAATTCGACTATTTCAAAAACTTTCTCTTATTTTATTTAACCGCACTAAAAAAAATTAATACTGTTAAATAAACTGTTAACTTTTTGATTTTGAATTTGAAAAAAAAAATTATGTAAATTAACTTTATGACTATATTATCAAATAATTATTATTTGGCTCAATTAAATTATATTTGTTATTCAGATATATATTATTAATTTAAATATATTGTTTATTTATAATAAATACAAAAATTATATATTTCAAGTAAATATATTTATTTGATTAGTCAAGTTATCGATTATTTGAATCAAATAAATTATGCTATAAAAAAAAAAGAATGCTATATCTTTTTTATACACGCTCCTCTTCCCCATATAAGCTTCAATAATATTTTTCTCATCCCCCTTCTCATATATCTTAACGTCAAATTATTTTTTACTAACCCAACCCCCCCACCCCACCCTTTTATAAAGATTTAGTAGCAACAGACAATTAAAGTCAGACAAATATATCTTTAATTTTTTTAACTTATTACTGTAATTATTATACTGATATTAGAGAGATAAACGTGAGTTTTATTTTAAGACATTTTCTAAGATCTTGGTATTATTTTAGTGTCAGTAGTAAAAGTAAATTTTAGCCTAGAGAGATTACTGTTTAAATTCACCAAATGTGATTAAAAATATTTATTATTATTAATCATTTTTTATTATTATTATTTTTATAATATTTTTGATATTAATTATTAATCATTATTAATATTTATAATATTTTCAAACATTTTATAATATTATTAATATTTTTTTTTATTAAGTAGTAAAATCTTAATTTTTACATCAGGAGTATAAAAGTCAGTTCCAGTCAGACGTTTAAATTCTTGTATATTTGAATTCATTAAGAGACACTTTTTTCTCTGTTATTTGTATTTAAAAATAAGATTTAGAAACTTCTTCAAGATTAAATTAAAAAAAAAAAAAATTAAAAAATAATTACTCTAGTTACCACGGCAACGGTTGCTGTAATGACGATTATCATGGCCACGGTTACTATGGTAACGGTCACCACAGCAACGATTCCTTACTATTAGCAACGCATAATTTAAAATAAAAAAATTCATTTTTTGTCTTTAATAAATTTGTAGTCTTTAAATATTTTATTCAACAAATTTAATATTAATTAATTAACTTTTATTATGATAAAAAAAATTACCTGATTAAAAAATACAAGGAATTATCTCTGAAAAATATAATTACTCTAAACACGATAAAAATTGTAAATCAATAATAGAAATTCTAGCCTTTATTATATAATGATATAAGAGGATTATTGAAAATCGAAGAAAATATTTTCATCCTGTATGTAATTTCAAACCAGATTAATGAAACTGATTAACAATGCCTTATCGATCACGTTCATTATCTTAAACCTATATCCTATTTCCATTGTCCACGTGTAAATGCAAACAGATTTCATATATATATACACAAGCAAATTCAGATTCCTGTGGGTTTGTAAAAGGAGATTTTCAATAGACGCCTCTCCAACAGTAGTAGCGTATTCCTACTGATACCTAGAGATTGCACAAAGTTTCAAAACTAGCTCCTATTTTAACAAGGTATTTCAAGCAATTGAAATTTCAATTTGTCCACCATGGAATTTAATTTTCAAATCCCATGTACTACTTATCCTCAAAATAAATATTATTCATGAACAAAATTTTTCAATTCTTTCTTTTTTAATCCCGAATAATGAAAAAAGTAAAAATATAATAATATAATAATATAATAATATAATTTTTTTTTAAATAAATAAAAATTATATTCGATTGATTTTCGTTGCTGTTAAAAGTTTGGAATTCTTGCATTACTAAACAAGTTATATTTAAGAATATTATATGCATATTATAAAAATTATTAAACCGAAAAAGTAAATTAAAAATAAATAAAGAACGACATAGAGACATCTGCACATTTTCTGGAGAAATTATTATCAATATAATTCAAAACTGCTCAATGCTGAATGCAGATGTCACTCTCAAAAATCGATATATACCAGCTTCAAATAAACTTTATATATGATTTTCCACTTTATTAATTTAAAAAAAAAAAATTCCAACAAAGAAAATAAAGAAAAAGCCTTTAAAGCCCCCTTTTTGCTTGTCAAGGTTTTATTAAATATATACATAAAATATATATCTGAATTCTAATCAATATGAATAATAATTTTTGCAAAAATAAATATTCACAGAAATTCAATTTTCGATATTTTTCTTTTTTTTTCATTTTAAAGAAGAAAATTTTTTAATATAGAAATTTCAATTTTCTTTTCATATATACTACAAAGAAGGGAAAAAAATTTCTTAGAGAAAATGTCAAAAAAATTTAAATTTTTATAATTTATTTTCCTCGAGATTTTTCTTTATTAAACTTTTTTATTATTATTTTTCTTTATCGATATTTTATAATTTGTATTTTTAAAAAAATAATTTTTTTTTGCCAATTTTCCGTTAATTCACATTTTATTAATTATTCATTCATTAAACAAAATGAAATTTACAAGATGTGCATATAATTATTATGAATCCGAAAACACACTCATTCGATGCAAATGCGAACGCAAGGGTAAAATTTATGAGGTGTGGAAGGCGAGAGGTACATACGAATCC